GTCTATATTTTTTTTGTGGAGTTATCGTTTTTACTAAACTATGATAACATAATATCCATCTTGAGAGCTTTTGTATCGGTTTACCTGTCGGGGATGAACTCTTTGAATTAAAACCTTTCGGGTGACCACGCTAGAGGTATCTAGAAACTTATGGTGGCACTATCCTTTCTGAAACTTGAGTTTTAGATCGACACTACGTGAGCAGACGATTTAGGGTAGCTTAAAGACATTGCCTTGGCAGACATTCTGGTTGGAGCTAGTGCTCAGCTGCTGCGGCAACGGGAAGAGCGGCTTAAATCATTGGAGCGAGTACGTTGCAAACAAGCGACAAAAATGGCCCGGCGGCTTCGACGCTGCTCGCGGCGTCAACACTGTTGACGCAGCGAGCGAAACGAACGCTGCCAGGCAAGTTCGTCGGTTGTTTGCCGTATATTTGGAATGTCCAGAGCGCAGCACATGCGGCATTGCCAACCAAAACTCGTATTTTCACGTGTTCTGGATGCAACTCGAGAAAACGAAAGCGAATAATTGTCGAATATTTTTGAAAGCATGTTGCAGTTCGGCAACTATAACTTAAACTTAGACAAGGCCTTAAACCAGCGATGGATCCTTCCAAATTATATTCAATTGCACTTCGTCTGAATATTTTCTGTATGAAGGGAACACTTACTTGTTTCTGGGTAGTTAGCTCATTCGTCAGGGTCGAGAGGACAGGTGCACAGATATGATGGGGCAGAGCGGTTGTTCGGTCGGCGAATCTCAACTGGGCTAAAGGCCGATCACGACTGCAGCATGGATGTTTGGGAGTCGGTGTTCACCCGAACGGGCACAGGCACTGTCTATTTAATTTATGCATACTGGCATCTTTGAAAGGGCTCATTTTCCCCAAGTCCCTAGGTAGGGAATTCGAAGCCGCAGTTGCAAACCAGCAAGCCCCGCCTCTGTTCCGTTCGACACACACATATTTGCTCCTGCACAGCCGCGCGAAAGCTCTGCCGTCAATCCACAGAAGCCGCGGTTAACTCGAAAAGTAAAGACGACGCCAAGGGGAGACAAGGGGTAGCGCCTTTCCTAAATTATGTCCCGCCACCCCAAGTTGAAACGGCATTGTATACAAATAAATTCCTAGGGCGTCGGCTTGAGGACCCCGTGTAAGCAGCCTCCAGCCTTTAGAGTGCTCGTACCGTTTATCTTTCTTTTATTAGCTTCCCGCCACGAGAAGTCGTACCGCAGGCAGTCTGAAGCCCATTAGAGGAAACATCTCCCCCTTCTGGCGCTCGTCGGCTTCTTTCTGTATCCCGCGCTGCGGCGCTGATCCTTAGTGAGGGATGGAGGCGAGGACGAAAGCGGGGTTATGTTTAAGTCAAGGTCGTGGCGAAGTCCGGAGCGTCTTCAGGAGAAGCTCAGACCCAGACTACACTGTACCCAGAGCATTTGCTTCCTCTCTCAGATGAAAAGAAAAGCAATTGGTCACCAGGTTGTAAAAGCTGCATCCGCCCCCCCCCCCCCCCCCCCCCTGGAACGCGTCTCCTGGTACATCCCCTCCGCACTTCCCTTAGCAATGAGCACACCGTGCCAATAAGATACCTTTAGTGAGCCCGTGGATAATTTAACTGAAAGAAGAGGAAGCTGCCGTGCTCTACGAACGCTTTTTTGTTAGTGCTCGGCAATTTTGCAAATAATTCTGCGTTCTTGGGTTTCTGAAAACATTTACCAACGAAAAGGACATCTTAGAAGCCTCCTCTACAAACCACGGAGCTGTCAGAAGATCCCAGTTCTAAATATTTGGCTTCGAAACATCATCGGCCCCATGGACCCGATCATCTGCAACGTCTAGATTGCCACAACACCGAATTTCCCATTTCAAGAGCAACCCAGGCTCAAAGCCTGACCTACCGCCCTCAACATCCATGAGTGAGCACCTTTCTAACGAGACGCAAGGACTGATAATGACCTCACCACTTCCACCGGCTACTACATCCCAAAGGCAAGATGACCCACAACAAGCTATCGAGAAAAATACAACTTATGAGACAGAAACTGAAATATCAAGTTGCGAAGCTTCAACTGATGATGAAGGCGAATTTCTGCTCCCTAAAAGAAAGAAACGAGTCCGGAAAAGCTCTGGGTCTAGTGCGAACACGACCATTCCTAACGGCACAGCACTAGGAAACGTTGTCATATTTACACCGCAAGATCCACAGATCAAAATAAAAACCCTTAATCCTATCAAGCTAACCAGTGCTCTAAAAACCAATTGCCCAGAAGGAATCATAAGCATTCGTCCTAACGCAAGACTAAATATCCTCGCCGTGGACACACGTAACTTTGACACAACCACTACACTTCTGCGCATCACCACATTGTGTGGCATTCAAGTAAGAGCATATGAACCACGCACGAGCAGTATGGCAGTTGGTGTGATTCATGGTGTATCGGTTGATATCACCGAGAAGGAAATTCTCGAATGCGCAAAATCAGAACCCCCCGTCATAAGGGTACGCAGGCTGGGAATATCAGAGTCTGTAGCACTTACATTTTCAGCTTCACGTGCCCCAGATGCTATTCACATTGGCTTTGTACGCCACAAGGTAAACCAGTACTTAGAGAAGCCAACACAATGCAAGCTATGTGGACGACTAGGGCACGTCGCAGCAGCGTGCATATCACCTTTATGCATACGATGCGGCGCCAAGCACGAGGGTACCGATTGTGACGAGACACCACATTGCGTTAATTGTGGACTTGAACATCCCTCTACCTCACGCCAATGTCCTAAATGGCACGAAGAAAAGGCCGTTGCTGAATATCGTCGCTCCAATCATGCAGACTACCGCACGGCGAAGGCCGCTGTCAAAAAAGTGTCATCGTCTACTGCTCCTGAAGCACCTCGGGAAATAATATCTAGAAAACTACAAAACGTGATGCCACAGTCAACATCCAAAGAAGGCAGCAATAGACAATTGGTTGTTGCCCAGCGCAAGTTAAACCCTAAACAACCAGCCACGGACCATGAAGTTCCACTTAACGACACGGCAATGTTTCCTCCCCTCCCTAACAGGACTGCCAATACAGACAAGGTCGCAGAAACACCAACTAATCCCACGGCACCAGCTCCCACTGTCGAGGAATCGCAGCATAATTGGCAAAAACATCATTCGACTGAGTCCGTCAGAAAAGGAAATACTGGACTTGACCTCCATCAAGTAGATGCCGACAAGGAACAAGCGATGGACACGTCGAACGTGGAGAGATCTCCTGAGCCAAATAGGCAAGCGTTGCCGGAAACCTCATCGAGACCTTCTTCATCGCTGAATATCGGTGACCTTTTACTGGCTGCAATCAATGCTCTCCGAGTCTTCTTTCAGCAGCTCTCATCACCATTTGCCAGCACTCTAACTAAAATTATCGACACAGCCATCCCATTTATCCAAGGATGGTTCTCTCATTGAGGATCAAATTCAACGAGCTACCATTTTCCAATGGAATGCCAGGGGATTGAAAACACGTCTTTCGGACTTTCGTCAATTTATTCAGAAATACCGTTTTCCTATAATAGCCATATGTGAATCTAAACTGTGTAGTGATTTCCGCCTTTCGGGGTATGAAGTATTTCACTCCGCACGGACATCAGGACCAGCAAGAGTGATGATTGCTGTGCGCAAAGAACTCACATATGTTTCTTACGATGTTCAACACCATCCGGATAATGAATATGTGTGTGTAACCATCCAACATGGAAAGTGTAAGGTTTCTGTAATAGCAGCATACATTCCACCCGGGGTCAGATTTGAAGAAAAAAGACTCAAAGACATTCTGAACAACTGTCCCCCTCCGCATATATTAACCGGCGATTTTAACGCACATCATCCATTATGGGGAAGTTTGTACATGAATACGCGAGGAAGACGCCTGGCTGACCTCGCTGCTGCACACCACCTATCAGTATTAAACGACGGGAGCCCAACTTATCTACGCGGTACAACCTGCAGCAGCTGTCTGGACGTGACATTTATGACAAACACCATTCTCTCTTCTGCGGACTGGTTCACTGATATCGAGACGCGCGGAAGCGACCATATTCCTACCTACATAATAATCAAGTCGTTTCAAGGCACACCAAATAGAAATACAGTTCAACAAACACACTGGGATACTTATAAAACCTCAATGGAGCAGGCTTGCAAGAACACTGCAAGCTTGTCTACGTTCAAGAGCGACATTCTGAAATCGAGGAAAGCTGCTACCAAAACTTACAACCTTTCAAGTAACCAATCCACCATTGATTCAGAATATGAACGCTTGCGCGCAATTCGCCGTCGAGCAGAGCGCAAAGTAAGACGAACAAAAGACCCGAATGATTTGCGAGATGCCCGGAAGGCCCAAAGGCACACGAGGCGGCACCTACAGAAACTTGGTTGGCGACGCTGGAAATCTATATGCGCTTCAATGGACCCCAAAAAGCCATACACCAACGTATGGAAAATTGCACGTGGACTAAAAACACCCCCCCCCATCAACTGCGTCCATTTAAGGCATTAGCTTTGCATAAGCAATGCTCTGAGAAATGTATCGCCGAAGAATACTGCACTATGCTCACCAGCTCATCAAATAGCCAACAGCTGGGATCCAAGGATAATGTTGTCATTCCTTCCACAACGAACGGGAAAATGAATGACCCATTTAATATGCAAGAAATGGAAGCTGCACTCGGTTCTACAAATGCGAAATCGTCACCCGGCCCTGACGGTGTGAAGTACTCAGACCTAATCCACCTGGGATCAGAGGCGAAGGCGCGGCTTCTAGCGTTTTTCAACATCTCATGGGAAACCGGTGTTGTACCTCTGACGTGGAAAAAAAGTAGGATAGTTCCTCTACTTAAACCAGGCAAGTCAA